GAACACTCAAAAACCACAAAAGTTACTTTGCAGAGATTGGGAGAATAAACAGGCCTGGATTCTGGTGACTTTTTATGACCCAGCGCCCACCACCACTACAATCACCATGGCCACACTTCAAAAACTGAAGCCTCAGTTTCCATTCTTTTTCTGGTGCACGCTCAAAACAAAGCATGCTGACCGTAGCGTTTTATTTTGTGCATTGATCTGAGCAGATGGCTCTGAAACAGCTTTAGACGTTATGGTCTTTCTCAGATGGATCCAGATTCCTGCTACCTGCATGATTCTAAAAAGACAGAGGAAGAAGTGAAGTCTCCAATTAAACTGCCTGTGAATCCAGCCCACCTTACTGATCTGAGCAGCTCCCATTCCACTGGCGATCTCTGGAAGTCTCCCAGGTGGTCTGAAGGCTGGACTATTTTCAGAGGCTTACCCTGTGCCAATGACTCCACTTGGGTTCTGGCAAAAATTAATATCCTTTATGGGTATCTCGTCAAAACCAGACATTCTTCCCGCTGAAAAATAATGTGTGCTAACGAAGTTTGGAGAATTTAGGGCTTTTTTTTTCAGTGGCAACCAGAAGCAGATGGAGAAGGTGGTTCTTAGGCATCTGTTGGCTTAAGATGTCTGAGGGTCCTTTTCCATAAGGGGCTAAAATAACGTCCATAAAAGGCAGCAAGTTCACAAAGTCTCAACCCCAGTGTTCCCCTCTTAGTACCTACCCACACTCCCCCACCCCAACAGAAAGAGCTAGGAGATTAGAACCAGGAATGTGTCCACCCACCCCCTCCCTCTCGGATATCTAAACTGAGTGCCACAGCAAGAGTGAGGTCTGGCGTCTAAGTGGCCACAATTGCACAACTTTCACAGACACAAATCCACTTTAGATTAGAATACACTGTATCCAGATCAGAGAATGTATCAAGAGATGCAGACTTGAGGTCCATCTACACATACAACCTGCTGTTTGACCTTGGCTAAGTAAGTATATGTACTTCTCCCAGAGTTGTGTCCTTAATAAGAAAACAGAGAGATAAACACATATCTCCAAGCAACGGAAACTCCTTACCAAAGAAAGTTTCAATACAATTATATATATGTATGTTCACCTTTATAAGCATGACAAAATAGTTTACTGGTCTCATTCTTTATAGTTACTTGAGGTAAAACCCTGTTGGTTGATACGGAATAATTAAATAATAACAACAGTAATTCTTTTCTAAGCAGGCAGTTATAATAATAGATACATATGTACATAATCAAGTCTGGCAGAAGGTGGCAGACATTCCCAGTTAAGTGCATACAAACCACGATTTTGATAACTTAATAAAAGAGTAAGTTGTTTAAAGTGTTGATAGCAGATTTGGGAGAGGGTGGATTACCTGAACTAGAATATCAAATAAGATTAGAATTTATATTAAAAGCATTGTTTTCTAGGTATGCAGAAATCAACCAGAATACAAAATGTTATGTGACTGACTTACACACAGACCTTTATCAATCTATATTTATGTTACCTACTTGTGTTTACTTCACCACATGGCCCTTATCTTGTTTGTACATGTGAGAATTGAGGGTGACTCACACACCTAGGCTCAGACAATGTAGCTGCTAAATTAAATAATGTGTAATACCCATTTACACATCGTACATGTCCATCAATGCTTTTAAATTCTATTTCTCCAGATGTGACTGCTTGGTTGTGGGGCCACCTGCCGTGTCCCCTTTGTGATCTGATCAGTCCAGGCGGCTCCTGTTTCTGCCTCTAACACCCTGTTGGGCAGTAATAAGATGGTTAAAGGCGACAACAGAGAGAGAAGCCAAGCTGTCAGCTTCAGAGAGGAAGGGGGTGAAGGGTACAAGGAGGAGGAACTAGAAAGCGAGTTGAGGGGAGATCAAAGACAGGCAGGAAGAAAGCCAAACTGCTGAGAGAGATGTGGCTCCAGGAGCCTTGAGCCCTAAGGAACACCCCAAAGCAATGAGATTCAAATTTCACCATCCAGTTACCCATGCTATTGAATTATTGAATGTCCCATGCAGAAAAAGCTAATATAATGAAAAATGGTCCCTACTCAGGGTAGGCAGAGCCCTACAGAGCTGTTGCATGAAAACCGAAGTTGTTCCTTCCCAGCACATCACCTATCACCACTTTACCCCCCAATCCTAGAGGAAACCTTTGTGCGACCAGCTTCTGTAGGGGGCATCAGTGGTGTTGGGTTTTTTGGTGTTTTTTTTTTTTTTGTCTTTTTAGGGGAGAGAGAGAAAGACTCAGAACGCACACAGAGAAAATGCTAATGTCGTTCAGTTCCGTTTCATTGTCAGGAGGGACGCAGGAGGATAAAAACATAGCTCTCCAAACCGTTCTCTCTGCTCCCCTCCTCCCAACACCACCATCCATCCCTTCCGCTTGATGTGTCTTTGCGCTTTGTTCTAATTTATCGCATGCATAATTTATTCACGTGTGTATTGTTTCCTGATCAGCAACTTTTAAAAACAAATTAAATATATAAGATGTTTTATTAAACAAGTTGTTTTTAAAAATAAAGGCAGATGGTGTAGGTCTCCCAATAACAACGTGTGTGCTCCTTAGTTAGGAGTTTTAAAAAACGTCCAAGGTGCAGGAGGCTCGCTGGTTGGGGGGGAGGGGGGTATTGTTTACACCCCCTCACCCCCAGGGAAAGGGGTTGAGATGCAAAAAGAAGCTGCTAATTATAAACGACCACTCAACTCCCACCTAGAAAAAGCAGGCAGGGGTGTTGTGTATATACTAGCGTGTGTGGCGACACAGAACTACAAATACATCACATTGCAATTGTTTCTAATTATACAAAGTACAAGTATAATAATTCAGAACTAATTTCACTAACCAACACGCTTCTCCCTCCCTTCCCCCACCTCTAACCCCACCCCCACCCCCACAGACACCCTCCCCAAACACGCACCTTCCCGATGTCCAAAAAAAAAAAAAAAAACTGGAGCGAGCAGGGAAACCCTGGAGCGTGGAGATATTGCGCCCGCACGCGCGTGAGCGGGCTCCAGGGTAACAAGGTGCCGCTTTCCCGGCAGGAAACAAACCTGGCTCATATGTGAAATAGATTTCTCTAACTTGAATTTACCAGGTGGCATTAGCCCGGCGATGTGATTTCGGCTGGATATGGGGAAACTGCAAATCAGCTTTGGGTTCGGTAAAAACTCACAGCATCAGCGATGTGGCGGCGCGAGCGACAGGGAGCTAGGATGCGGCGAAGTTACGCCCATTTATTCTGCCATAAAACGTTTTCTTTCTTGGGGGAAACGCTGTGGCGTTCAAGTGCAGTGTATCTGAGCTTCAGAGCGAGAACTGAAGCCGGGAGCTGCTCTCTGATCCGCCTCAGCTTCCAACGTCCTCTTAAGGGCAGCTTTAATATATATATCTAAAACTCCGAGACTTGGGACATTCCTCGCCTTCTCCCCTATTATTGATGGAGATAAGCTGGTGCAAACACGTCCGATTCTCCCCGCGCGTTCCTTCGCGTTAGGTACCCCCCTGCTGCCCCCCGGTGGGAACCTGGTTTTCAACTCCAGGAGGAGCGGGGGATGCGGACGCAGATGAGCTGAGCTGCGAGAAACCTGGGTTGGCATCTGCCATGCACCCGCGAGAATCCAGCACGAAACACCCCCCATCCGCGCCTCCGCCTCCCCTCGCCCGCGCGGGGCTTCCAGCCCAGCTGGAAAGTCTTGACCCCCGGGGCGCGGACCCCCACCCACGTCGCGCCGCGATCCGGAGGGAGCTCCCCTCTGCCAACATCTCTGCCAACAGCGCCCCTATTTGAGCGACGCTCGTTTTCCGAAGCCACCCCCGGCTCCGCGACCGCCAGCGGACTTGGCGGCTTAACAGTTCCACCGACTGGAAGGAAGGAAGGAAGGAAGGAAGGAAGGAAGGAAGGAAGGAAGGAAAGAAGGAAGGAAGGAAGGAAGGAAGCCAGGACGAAAAGGAGGAGGAAGGCAGGCAGGCAGGAACTGGCTGTCGGACCCGCGGACTGGCCCCCGCGTGTCCTCACCCAGCCCGCCCCTCCGTCCCGGATCTGGGCGTCCGCTCAAAGTCTCCCGGCAGCGGCCAGAGGCACCTGCCCCTCGCTCTGGCCCGGAGCAGACGCCGCGGGCCCGGGCGGGGAGCCCCGCGCTGCCTCCCCGCCCGCCTCGGCTTTTCACCCAGAGGAGGCGAGAACACCATTCATAAGACCTGCAGCTTCCCTGCCTCCAAATCAACCCCAAGTTAACCCGAGTGTTAATTGACTACAGCCAGTTCGCCCACAAACACACAGACACCCCGGCGACCGCCCGGAGCGCCGTCACGCTCCGGGGGCTGCCCCGGCAGGAAAGCCCCGGGCAACCACCTGGGCCCCGGGGCTCCTGGGACCCGCCGCTCCCCAGGCGGTCCTTGCAACTCCGGAAGGTTTGCACAAACTCCCCGCGAGCGATCGGAAGGCACAGAGCGCCCTGCAAACTCCGGAGCTGCCGCGGTCCACTCGCCCCGGCGG